TTTATTAAAACTCAGACCAGATATTCCTCATTCTTTCCACTGTCAAATTGAAACTCTAACATAACCTGAACTGTGTTACAGCTACCACTGCACCCATAATACATAATGTTGTTTTAAAGAAACAATATCAAATCAAATTTGGATCAAGATTTAGATTGTTGCAAAATATTTTCTCAACACTTAAGACTAATTAAAATATTTTCAGGATTTTTTGTAACTTCTAATGGGAACAGTTGATTTTAAAACAAATAAATACTCCCCTTCAGTACTCTGTTTACATGGCTGCACTGAGAACCTGAAAGTGAAATTGCTATTAAAAAAGGATATCTAATTTCACTAATATTATTTCCTAGCTGAGAGAAATGCAGAAAGTAAACAAAGTAGTACAGATAGCAAAATGCAAACTGGATTTTAAACTATTTTGGTTTTAATAATCTAAGTTGCTATCAGTAATATTGTTAAGGAATCTTAAAATATGGGTTTTCAGTTGACAGTGTCCCTTTTAAAATCATAATTAGTGAATTTATAGAAAAAGAGCAAAGAGCGCTTCCTAAACTTCACAGCTTTTTCCTTGTCTGTCATAATCAGTTTGATGTGCAATTATCTAATCTTCCTGGTGCTCTGATTTTATATATTTCTATTTTCATTCTATATTTCAATTTGCCTTCTAATTTTTAAGAAGAAAGCCTTGTCATCTAATGTCATAATGCATTATATGTAAACCACCCATGGCTTAAAAAGAAAAAATCCTCATAACTGATGGGTTTAATGTCATGACTTATCTTGATGTATGAGGCGGATGAGTGCTGCTGGAGAATCATTCCAGCAGCAATGGATGTAGAGGAGGGAGGCAGCAGGAGAACCAGGCAGATGAGGAAATGCCGGTGTAGATCCATTCTATGGGGCAGGAGCAGCGAGTCTTGTGAAGTGGCAGCAGGAAGACAACAGCAGTGAGAAAAGGGAATCTGTGCAGATGTTTATTCAAGACTTGTATCCCTATACTGTCATAAATGCAAACTCCTGCATTAGTACAACAAACTGATAGAATTTGAAAGTGCACAAAAGGCAGGGAATTCAGAGTTACGCTTACCAAGTTAGCCTTAATGGGCTTTTGTTTAACTTGGTCATTTAGGCCTTAGTTCAGGAAGGTACTTAAGAATGTGCCTAACTTTAAGCATGTGAGTAATCACAGGAAGTCAAAAGGAACCAGGCTGAATTAGGACCTTACCCAACTTTAAACTTTTAAAATGTGTTTTTTCTATATATATCACATTTTTCTTGGCTGCATTGTTCCTCTGCTTAGTGGGGTTGTGTTTTTTTCCTAGTTTTTAAAAAAGTAATATTTGGCTAAAATATTTTAGTTGGATCAATTTACATGACTTCTTGCTAAGCTCATATGACCCAGTTGCTACAGTCTGAAGCACTGACTATAGGATCTTTCCATTTAATTAGGCATATCCCTTTAGTCAGGTTGTTTTTATTATTTAGGCACAATCATAATGTTAGCCACAGCATTTGCTGTCTCCTCTTCACATTCATGCTGAAAAGGAAAGATCAGCCCAGGACTCAATAAAGAATCATTTACTTAATCTAGGAGTTCTTGACATTTTTAACTATCTGAATCACATTCTTAATAGAGTATCTTGCGGACTCTTTCTTCCCACTTGTAGAGGTGTACGCTCCCCACTGCTCCCATTCGTCATTGCACAATATCTCTGTGGTCACAACTGCAGCTGCTTACAATGGAAAAGTAATATTAGGAAAATATTTTATGTTCTTTCAACTGTAATTCATTACAGCAACACTAGATAAAGAGAAGAACCAGCACCATTTGGCTACCAGAAGGTGGACATTGGACCACATTTTGGGGATCTCTCTCTTTAACCGACCAGAATATTGTCTCTGTTCATGCATTTATTGAACAGTGTGAACACACTTTAAGCAAGGGGTCCATCGGGGGGAGAAATAGATTGTGTATTTTCTTCTAATGCAAATTTCTGTCTTGATCTCACCTCAGATAACTTCAGTCTCAAGACTGGATAAGTAGTGGAATATGGACCAGCATGAGCTGTGTTATTGCTTAGACTGATTTTTGGCAAAAATTTTCAGTGACATAAAAAAAGTCATGAAAGACAAACAGGAAATTTTGAAAACAGATTTTCAAGTGTTTTGTGGTTACAATAAAATATTTAGTGTTGTGCAATTGTTCAGCTAAATTAATGTTTGTTCCATGGTGTAGTAGAACTGAATGCTGAATAAAAAAATATAGTAGAATGTTAATCTCTTTCAGTTATCAACAGAGGGTGCTCTGTACCTTTCACATTAGTCATGCATATGTTACATGTTTGTCAAACATATCTTTAGTTATTAATTTACAATTCAAAATTTAGTGTAATTATACCTTTGCTTATATTAATGGTGCCGTTTACAGTAGATCTTGATAGCCTTAATTTGATTCTGCAAACTAATGTATTTTCTGTTCATCAAGGCCCCATCTTACACTATGATGATCAGCTTTATGTTACAATTATTCAGTAATTAGGGAGTGTTTGCTCCTATTTATACATTATATATTCTAATTTTATGTAACCCTGTTATAGGTTTATAAAAACACAAACAAAACTGTAGAATTTCTTGTTGGTATTCGTTGTTAGTTTGATAGTGATGTGTCATCAGAAATGGTGTATATCTTTGAGTATAAGTAGTTTAAAAATTAAACTGTTCAGCATCGGAAACGGTGTAGCACGTGAATGTGAGAATGATCAGAGCCATGTGGGACATAGGGAGAAAGACAACCAAGAACATGGGGGCTGGGAGAGACTGGTGATGGAGGCAGCGTGAGAAATAAAGAACAAGAGATAGATTAGGTGAGATTTTTTTTAACCTATGCTAATGTTCTCACCAAATGTAAATCAAAGTGCACACAGAGGCAGCTTTCCAAGTGCAGCACAGCCTCTATTTTTGAGTTGCTGCTTTTCCCACCTCTGCCTTCCCAGCTGCACACACTCCGCCCCTCTGTCCGAACTGTCCTACGAGGCTTCTAGAGTTCCTGACTTTCCCACTGCTGGCCTCCTGGGTGTTGACAACCTCTAGAATTAATTGCTTCTGCCAGACACAGCTGGTGGGTGGAGCTGTGAATTCTGCTGCTGAGAGGAAATAGAAAATAGTGTGTTGCCCCACTAGGCTTTCCAAGTTATCTTCTGGTCTCATGGGAGAAGAGTTGAACTCTAAGGGAAGGCTTGATTATAGGGAGAGTCTACCATGTCATGAGTCTACCATGGACAGATTTTTGATTGGTCCAGAAGGCAAGGGCAAAGGATTATGGTGTGTGAGTATAGTATCATCATGCCAGGCCGTTCCTTATTAGATGTGGGATAAAAGAAAATAGACAAAAGTTAAGAATGAACCAGACTTCACTTGGCTTTTGCAAAGCAAGGGCTAGGGGAGTGGGCAGACAGTTTTAAAGAGATGAACTATGTAGACATAGCATGCGACGTTTCATTCTCTTTTCTGTATCTTACTGGACAGCTACTAATCTGTTTACTTTCCCCTTTTGTCTGGCATATGCTTAAGGGAATTTGTATGGAAGGTCTGGCTTACTAAAGTCGAAAGGATGGTCCAGTGGTTAGGGAACTAGCTTGGAACCTGGAAGACCTGTCCTCAATTCCTTGTTCTGCTGCAGACTTCCTGTGTTACTTTGGGCAAGTCACTTAGCCTCTCTGTATGTCAGCTCATTATCTGTAACATGGGGGTAATAGCACTGCCCTACCTCACAAGGGTGTTGTGTGACTAAATAAGTTAAAGCTTGTGAGGCCCTCAGACACTATGTTTAATGGGGGCCACATAAATACGTAGGGTTGATAAAGGCTAGGAGATACTGAGATTAGAATGGGGAGGCAGGTGTGGAAACCCCAGTTGTGACAGGAAAAGTGAATAGGTATCCAAAAAGAATCCCATCCAAAAGTAACATTTAAATGATTAATTCTCAGCAAGAATTTTATTTAAATAAAGTAATGTCACAGTAACGGGATTGTTTTTGCAATCATGTGTGTATTATTATTAAACAGTGTATATTAGAATCCTTACCAAGGTTTTATTATTTAAGTGCTAAATGTACAGAATCAAGAAGAAAGGACTAGAGAAAGACCTGCCATGGGAACTTGCATTCTAAGACCTTAATTACAGATGCAGTTAAACAAGAAGGGAGTTTTCACAATATCTAAAATGATGGGCTGATGGGCACCTATGCCTAGAAAGAAGGATTTAGGGCTGACTAAAAAGAAAAAGCATATTAAAGATTTCTCTTGCAGAAATTTAAAGTAAATTTTAGTGCTCCTGAAATGTGGCGGATTGACATAGTTGGAAACTGATATCTGTTATCCACATGACAAGTACTAGTGGACAATGATAGCACAGTCATACAGTGTGCCCTCAGCCCATTGTGGATGCACCACCTCTGGGGCTTAAAGAGTTAAATCTCTGCCCTTTCATCCTTGAAATCTTTGCTGAGACTACCAGAAAGGGTGCTATGAAGGAGCGTATTACCTCTTTAAGGGATAGCCAGGGGCTCACAACCAAAACAAACTGGGAGTAATTAAAGAGGCTCCCTACTTTGCCCTGGGGCTGGTCTATTTAAACAGGAACAGAGAGCTAAGCAAGAGCAGAGCGCCTCCTGGATTACACCCAGGGTTTTTTGGCTGTAAGATCCTGGCTGTTCCTTAAAGAAGTAGTATACGTCTTTAGAAGTGCCTCTTCAGATAGTGGCATTTCTGAAAAGAACACTTTTCCACAGGGGACTGGACTGTGGTCAACGAACAGCCATCAAAAACAAATGACTCTTGGTCACTAGAGGCCTGGGCTAGATTTTATCTGATGAGTGGAAGGCTCCATGTCCCATTATGGATCCCATGAGCCATCCAGACCTTCTGCTGTATTGTTTTAAATGGTATTGACTTGACTCTTTCTAAAACCATTTCATTCCTTTTTACCCCTGTGCACAGTGAAACACAGTTCAGTTCCTCTAGTACTACCACTTCGGAGAGTCAAGAACCATCTTCAGGAGATCACGCTGCAAGTGCACTCCAGCAGCAGCTCTTACTGATGGTGGCACGAAGAACCCTTTCAGAAACACCACGGGTACGTTGTATTTCAGTTTCTAACATTTTAACAAATCATGTCATGTAAATATGTTGTAGAACTGACCACCTGGTGTGAAGGCAACCATTTTAACCCTTTTGTATTTATATAGTATTGCTGTACTGGGAGGGCTTGTTTGGCTACACATTGAGTAGTATATTACTAGACAAGTAGCCCCATTGGTTTAAAAATAATAAGGGACTACTCTGAGCAAAGGTGGCAGAGCTGGGTCCTTAAGGAGCATTTTTGAGCTTTTTTTTAATAACAGGGACAAGTTTTCCAAAGTGCCTTGTATTAGAGTATTTAGAGATTACTATGAGTCTAAGTCTGCTAAACATTTGCGTTGGCACATGTTAGCTGTACAAAGAAACTGCCAACATGTAAATAGTCTCTTATCGTAAAAATTGAAAACCAGAGGACACAGCTGTTAGGATTTTATACACATTGCCAAATTTTAATAGTTTGACACATCTACTTTGCAGAGTAGTGTGGGCACGTAGGCCTAAAATATCAAGTTTGTCACCTCTTTTCTGAACTGGGAAGTAAAACTTTTAGGGCCTGATCCTGGGTCCTGGATATCATTTGTGGGATGCCAGAGCACACTCCACTTGCAGGAGCTGGAGTTGCTCATCACCTGTCAGAAGCAGGCCCTTAGTGCTCAGTTTGGTTTGTAATATAACAAGGACATAGTTTATTTTTATAGTTTGTGTGGGTTTGGGGTCTCTGACATTCTCCAAGCTGTCTTCCAGAATTTGGAGATACCCTCATCTCAAGCTTAACACCTTCACCCTACCCGAACATGGCCACTTCAAGTCTGATGTTAATAAACCTAAAACATCAGACAATTATTTATTTTGACTTAGATTTTTAACAGGAACTAAAAGTTGACAGGAAAATAGCTGTTGTAAGATGATTTAAAACTTGTTTTTTGCCTGTGTATGTTATAAATGCATATAAAATGATAATTTAGATTTGTATAGAGATTTCCGTACAAGAATCTCAAAAGATTTTACAAATATTTATTAAGCCTGCAAACCACCTGCTAACTAGAGAATTATCATCACCCTTATCTTATCTATAGGAAATCTGAGGTATTGAGAAGGGAATGTCTTGCCCAAGATCACACTGCAAGTTTGGGACTAGAATCCATGTTTTTATGGCTTCTAATCTTGTGATTATAAGTGAAATCTTAACCCTATTGAAGTCATTAGGAGTTTTGTCATTGACTTGGATGGGTCTAAGTCCAAATTTCTTGGTCAAAGTATAGTCAAGGTCCAGACTCCAGAGAAAATAATAATAAAAAATAACAATGATGATAATAAAAAGATGTTGAGGTCCATTCAAAAGTGTCTGGCAGTCAGGATTTGGCCCACAGTCAACATATTGACTACCCCAGGCTAGAATTTCACTCAGAGCTTCAGACACCCATATAAATTAGCTGAGAGCTTGTCTATATGATAATTTAGTTCGTAGCAAGTTGCGGTGTGAATCTACCTGCACTAGCCTGCAGCGCATTAGCTCTCTGTGTAGACCTTGTAGATGTGCACTAACAGTTCATGTCAAAGTGGGGTAAATCAAAGTACGCTAACAAACTGTCAGTGCATGTCAGCATGGTCCATGTGGACAATTAGTGTGCGGCAGACTAATGAAGGGTAGAGTCACACCCCAGTTTGCTGTGAACTAAAGTGTTCATGTAGACAAGCTCTAAGTAATTTCATTCATTTGGTGGATGGGTAAATGGAGGCACAAATAGATTTAGTGTGGCCTCATGCAAGTCACAGCCAGTCAGTGACAAAGCACTTACTACAACACAGAAGTCCTGATCTAGGCCCAAGTCCTGCAAACCCTTATGCACATGTTTAACTTCATGCATATGTATAATTCCAGTGAAGTCAATGGGACTGCTCATGTGCTTAAAGTTAAGCACATGCTGAAGTGTTTGGAAAATCAGGGCCATAGTGCCCTGTTTAGATTTTTAAACAATTCCTTTGCTAGCATTGTCATTTTTCTACTCTTTTTCAAGTCATAAAACTAAATTAGGAGAGTGGTAGTAATTAATTTAAAGTGAGTGTGATTAAAAATAAAAAGGAAAAAGAACAGGAACATTGATTACTGTAATAGTTCCTGTTGGAGCAGAGATTGTAGAGGCAGGAGACCAAATATAGAAAACACTCCTAGATGGCAGATATTATCAACAAAAATTTTAAATGTTCATATTTCACTTTTGGCTTTTTAAAATCCTTCACAGTACATTAAGTAAAATGTCTAAATTGTAACTTAAATAATGTAAAAACTGTGTATTATTTGAATTCATATTTTGCTTAAAAATTACGGTGACAGAAGGAACACAATCTGTCTCAAATCATATTTTATGTCACTTGGAATTATTGATTGCTAGGATTCTCAGTTAGAGGCAAGGATCTTTTCCCATCAGGTACGGTTGTGGCTTATGCTGTGGTTGGTTTGAAGTGTGGGAGAAGCCAGAAAACCATAGACAAGATAAACCACGGGGATTAAAGAAACAATTTGTTACTAAAACTTGTTAATGTATTGTTAATAGTATTTTGCATGATTGGCATAACTTCTGACCATCTATAAGAAATGAGATTAATATATTGTGTTCCTTATGACTGAAATAAAATGGAGAGTAAAAATTTTCACCAGTATTCATTTATAAAGAAATTGGAATGAAACATTGACATATAAATTCTACCTTTCAGAGCATGTACTTTAATGGCAACAGTATGCCAATATGAAACTGTGTGTGTGTGTTTTGTTTGTTTTAAAGCATCTGAGTCAGGACTTTGAGGACTCTTCATGCTCTTCAGCACAACGAAAATTTAACAGGCAGTTTTACAAATTTATTATATTTCCTGGCAAGTGGATTAAAGTCTGGTATGATCGACTTGCTTTGTTGGCATTACTGGATCGGTAAGCTTTCTTCATACTAAGTGGCATGAATTTCTCCTCACAGGTAAAAATGCAAACTATTAAAAAAGGAGTGAATGGTGGGACTCCTTTTAAATAAATACTTGTTTAGTTTAAGTGTGGGAAAATGTGCTCCAAGCCTCAAACTTCAGAGCTTTTTGTGGCCCATGACCCTTCTATATAAGAAGTATCAGAGGGGTAGCCGTGTTAGTCTGTATCCACAAAATCAACGAGGAGCCCGAAGAATTCCTCCGCATCTGAAGAAGTGGGTTTTTTACCCACGAAAGCTTATGCCCAAATAAATCTGTTAGTCTTTAAGGTGCCACCGGACTCCTCCTTCTATATGAGAAGAGACCTTGATTTATGTGAGCGTCCAATTTGTGTGATAGTCCCCAATTTGATTCTGGACTCTGGGCCTGCTGCCTCTGGCATAGACGCCGACTCCGTGGGTGCTCCAGGGCTGGAGAACCCATGGGGAAAAAGTAGTAGGTGCTCTGCACCCACCGGCAACCAAGCTCCCTCTGCCCCCGCCTCGCCTCCTCTCCCTTCTGAGCATGCCGTGTCCCCGCTCCTCCCTCTCCCTCCCAGCACTTCCTGCCCCGCCCCGCCGCCTAACAGCTGTTTGGTGGCGCTTAGGACTTTCCAGGAGGGAGAGGAGAGGAGCAGGGATGCGGCGTGCTCAGGGGAGGAGGCAGAGAAGAGACAGGGCAGGGGCGGGGACTTGGGAGAAGGGGGTGGAATGGGGGCAGGGACTTTGGGGAGGGGGGGGAGGGGGGGGGGGGCGAGGGTGGTGCAGGGGCGGGGAGGGGTCGAACACCCACCGGGCAGAGGGGAAGTCAGCGCCTATGCGACTGATTGAAAATTAGTGTGGTGTGTGGATCAGGAAAAGCGAATAGAGGGAAAGGTGCCAAATTTTTGTCACTGAAATACTTCCAAATTTTAAGAACAAAATGCAGGAGGGAATTCCCTTGTTTCCCCCCACCCTAACTCAATTATTTGACGAAACACAATTCTATTTCTTTCTCTGGCATCTCTTCTTCTTTTCTTTCCCCCATGTCAGTTGTAATCAGCTGTTTTGGCAGTGCTCTTTGCTGATAGACCCTCCCCCTTATAATCTGCTAGACTATTATCAACCCAAAACAACTAAGCCTACATAGCCAGTGACTGCAGGCTAGCCTGTCATGAGCTTGATCTCTGATTGTGTGGGTGTATGCCCTATACACATTAATATTATCTCTGCTGCAGATATTTAAGACGACAGCTTTAGTGTTCTACAGAAATCATGGTATGTAGTAAGAGAAGTTAGATCTAGCATATATGCTGCTGTATATGTGGTGCCTTGTCTAAGCACTTCAAGTGCATGGAAAAATATCCATAATACACTCTTTTTGTTATGGATTGAATATTTAAATTGCTTTTCTCTGCACACCTGTTCTAATAAATCTTATTAAACATATGAAAGATTTAATATGTTTCAGTACTACAGATAAAAGAAATTGAATATCTTTTCTAATTCTATATTGTTAGGGTTGCACTTTAAAGAATAATTTTAACATGACAACAGTATTGATCGCCACCTTTGGCAACATACTATATTTTGTCTTTAGCATTTTTAGTACATGAATGCTTATCATTCCCTTTAAAAACTGTTTTATAGAGAGACTTACAGGGAAATGCACACTAAAGTATACAAATTACTTGGTGAAATTCTATGCAGGAAGTCAGACTAGATTATCATAATGGTCTCTGCTAGCCTTAAAATCTATTCAACTATGAAATAAAATACACAGGTTTGAATACAAGGTTTGGGTGTCATAATGAGATGTACAACTAAAGACTTAGAGTGAAGAATTATACACTGATAAGTCCACAAGCAGTTGGTGTAGAGTTTTGAGGGCAGATCCTCAGGTGGTGTAGTGTTGTAGCTCAAGTCAGTGCAGCGATGGCAATTTACATCAACTGAGGATCTGTCCCTTTATCTGCTAGGTAGTTACATGGTTACTTTTCTCCTTTTGAAACCCCTTTTATTTATTTTATTCCTGTAGGACTGAAGCTATCAAGGAAAATGTGTTGGCTGTTCTTTTAGTAGTTCTTGTCTCACTTCTTGGGTTCCTAACTCTGAATCAAGGCTTTTGTAAAGACATTTGGGTCCTCTTGTTCTGTCTTGTCATGGCCGGTTGCCAATATTCCCTTCTAAAGGTAAGAAATAAATATATTTCCTAGCCACAAAATCTCCTTGAATTTTTGGGGATCCAAAAACCTGTAAATAATTTTTTTTTCTGTTTTTGTTTTTAGAGTGTTCAGCCTGACCCTGCCTCACCAATACACGTAAGTCACAGCAAGCAGAGCAAGTTTGCTTTTTATAGTATCACTTTTGTACTGAGAGGGAATCAGTTGGTACTGCTATAATACTACCCAGAGTCATCATGAGGCACCACCTTACCGCTACCTGCTCTTAGTGTGCAGTGGTCTCATCTGTGCCTGTTGTAGTCCAGCTCCCTGGAACCAACAGCCTCTGGCAACACAAGCAACAAGGACAAGTGCAGAGTCCTGCACTTAGGACGGAAGAATCCCATGCACTGCTACAGACTAGGGACCGAATGGCTAGGCAGCAGTTCTGCAGAAAAGGACCTAGGGGTTACAGTGGAGGAGAAGCTGGATATGAGTCAACAGTGTGCCCTTGTTGCCAAGAAGGCGAACAGCATTTTGGGCTGTATAAGTAGGGGCATTGCCAGCAGATAAAGGGACGTGATCATTCCCCTCTATTCGACATTGGTGAGGCCTCATCTGGAGTACTGTGTCCAGTTTTGGGCCCCACACTACAAGAAGGATGTGGAAAAATTGGAAAGAATCCAGCGGAGGGCAACAAAAAGGATTAGGGGGCTGGAACACATGAATTATGAGGAGAGGCTGAGGGAACTGGGATTGTTTAGTCTGCAGAAGAGAAGAATGAGGGGGGATTTGATAGCTGCTTTCAACTACCTGAAAGGGGGTTCCAAAGAGCATGGATATAGACTGTTCTCAGTGGTACCAGATGATAGAACAAGGAGTAATGGTCTCAAGTTGCAGTGGGGGAGGTATAGGTTGGATATTATGGGTTACCTAGGGAGGTGGTGGAATCTCCTTCCTTAGAGGTTTTTAAGGTCAGGCTTGACAAAGCCCTGGCTGGTATGATTTAGTTGGGAACTGGTCCTGCTTTGAGCAGGAGGTTGGACTAGATGACCTCCTGAGGTCCCTTCCAATCCTGATATTCTATGATTCTAAGCACTACCTTCCAGGCCTCTGCAGACCTCGCTCCCTCTCTGCAGGCTAGTAATAGGCACACACCAACCCCTGAGTCCTTGGAGCAATCTCTGTAACATCCAGCCCCTTGTCCACTGGCCACTCACAGGAGTTACCAGATATGCTGTCCCCAGAGGGACAGTATACACACAAGAAGGCTGTAACCAGGGTGGGATGAGCGGAGCAGCTGCCCGGGGTGGAAAAATGGGGCAAAGAAATGCAGAAAAAAACTATATTTAACAGGCCAAGCCCCTGTCTACAAAAGTTTGTCACGCAAAGCAATCTCCCAGCATCTCCAGCCAACATGACTGGGATCTCTCTTTCATGAATGCAAAAAGTTCTATCCTTTTGCTTCCTTGGTTAATGATAAAATGGTGTTCTTTTGTCTTCTTATATCTCCCAAACATCCATTGTTTGTCCCAAGAGTCAGGATGACCCCCCATGATTTATTTCCTGGTGTGCTGACTTCATGTTGACTTCATATGCAAACGGAGCTTCCTCCATTGTATTGGCTTAGATGCTTAATTTATATGTGAACCAAGACAGATAGGGGAATATACATCCTTTTGTCTGGCAGAAACCAATGCTGCCTCGATTCAGACTCTTTTTAGAAACATATTTCCAGTATATATACACAACTTTTTTCATGGTATTTGTTCATACATTTCACAATGACATTAATGATCAGTAGGAACCCAGCTTTTATTGAAGACCTCACATAACATTCTGTATGGATAAATACTATGAAAGCCGGGGTGCGAGGTGTAGTGAGATTGTCAGGCCTGCTAGGAGTTGCTGTTACAGAGCAGTGAACCCATTGCCTGTTGGCATTGAGGGGTTCTGTCACAACAGTGAAACATTGAAAGAAGTAGCTCTTGTAAATATTGTTGGTTGTTTATCAAGAACCCTATTGCGTGTGGCTTTTGTGGCTTCAGTACTATTTTTATTCATGATTGATTATTTGAATTCATCATTACTTTTGGGTACTCTATGTGCTAAAATATAATAAACATAAATATGTCTGAATTAGATTATTCAGAAACTCAGTCATATGGCATCTGACCAACATTTCCTCTGTTTTCCATTAACCACTGTTGGCTTTTAAAACAGCAACAATCCAGACTCATCCCTCAGTCTTCAGTCAATAGGGATTTAAAATTCATCTTCAAGACAGATAATTGATTTTTAATCTGCTATTGCTGATGTTTTCCTCAAAATCATTAAGAAAAAGTACATAATTGGCTGATCAAATAGCACATGCTTCCTTATTAAATTAATCTATTCCTATAATTGTATTTCTATATAATATTCATCCTTCCTTCACGAAGTACCGTAACTGGGAAAAGTATAATTGAGATATCAGCAATGTATTGTTGTAAATTGTCACTAGCAGGATGTGTATTAGGTTACATTGAGAAGAGAGATGTGGGATCTGCCTTACTGCGAGTATTAGCTACCCTGGTATTCTGAATCAGATCTCCAGGGCAGTAGTACATTAGAAATACTGATTCTATGTTGGAAATGTATTGGTTTGCTGGCATCTGATTGTCCTATCTAGGGATCGCTCTTCCAGGAATAACGTGCACCAGGGAAAAAGATTCAGTGCATCTATTGCTCCCAGAGTAGTGAAAGAAATGGAAGTGTGATATTGGATACAGTACATTAAACAAATAAGATATGTGTTCTAACACTTATCAGTTGGCTAGCTGTAATGTAAGGCAACCAGAACTAGGTAAGGGGAATGAGCAAAAATCAATACAGTTGATTTTCTTATCTAGAAGCATAATGTGATGTAAGGGGGGGGGGAAAGGAGTTTGTGAACTGTTGGAGGAGGACTGAACTTTTTCTCCAAGTCAAAATATTGTGTGCGCTCACTCAGGACCTATGCCTATCCTTCAGTTTGTTGGTTTTGGACTCTCTCACCTTCTGGGAAGTCTGCAGCTAGGTAAAAGATCACCTGCTGTTTGCAAGCTGCTATTGGGAGTGGTGTGGGGAGGGTGGGAACTACAAATCAGCTCCGTCTCCTGGATCCTTTCCCTTTGATAGTGAGTTTTAGCCTCTGTCATTTTGAAGACTGGAAATATAAATTCATTTTTAAATCAAGGTTCTTTGCAGTTTATAGTTGTAAATTCTACCAAGGTGAACTTGAAGGATTCTTAGTTTCCTTTCCTGCCTCAATCATTCCTAGAAATTATGGAATTGCTCAGCTATCGCACATTTGCAGGCAATTCATGCCTACCTGCAAACTGGACAGTGTTGATAAACATTAGTTGACCATTCCGTTCCTTGTAGTGTATGTTATTTCCAGGGACTTTAAAAAATATTCAGACCTCAGTAAAGAGCTAATTTTCTCAATGCCAAAAATAGACCATATTTGTCGGTTCGACTAACACATTTCTACACACAGTAATGTGAACAGTAATCAAATCGCTTGCACATGCAAACACTGATAATGTGCACATTTGTTTAAGAGGGGTGGTAACCAGCATAATCAAAACTTCATTATAATCACATCCTAGACTAAATTATTTGTAGCATCAAAGACGAAATAACTAATGAAGCTTAATTGAGGCATATTTTCATACAATACCATGACTAGAATTTTACAGTCACAGTAAAAATGTTGTAACATCATCCATCATATTATATTCTACATGTCATGCAGTATTATAACAAAGTGATGATATACCTGATTCCCTCCCCAACCCTCCCACAAGCCTTGGTTTATTAAGAAGTGCCTATGAAAAAATATTTTACAGTATCTTTTCACTCAACATTTTAAACATGAAAGGCATATTTAACATAAATTAAACTAGAAGACTTAATCCATATTGCATTATGCATTATCACTTAAAAGTTATTAAATTTTATAAGATGAGATGTATTAATAAAGGCTTGCTGGAATTAGTTGGCATCATTAAAAATAAGACAACAAGTAGGCTTGAAAGGATACCATACTGTACTACTTCATAATTCACACAACTACATTAAAATTAAAGTAGATAAGATTGCTTGATGCTAATGCGAGGACGCAGAACAGCAGGGAGATTAAAGAATGATCAGTGTTATAAACCTGAATGACAATGCAGCTGAAATTTTCCAAACAAGGCTGGGGAGCAATGGGATAATCTGGGGGTTCTTCTGGGTCCATTCTTGTTCTTGGATTCTCTTAGGCTACAGTGGCCCCTCGTGCCTTTGATCATCTCTGGCTTCTGGCAGACTCCAAACATTCTTCCCGATCTCTTTCAGGCATACCTTGCAGTAGTCGGTCATGGCTTTGTCATCTCGAAACTATACTACTGTAACAGATTCTATTTAGAACTGTCCTTGAAGACAGCCCAGAGTAATAAGAAATAAGGAATAAATTTTTGACAGTGAGGATTATTAACCATTGCAGCAATTTACCAAGAGTTGTGCCACAGAACCCTCCATCACTGATGATTTTTAAATCAAAATCGGATTTTTTTTTCTAAAAGACGTGCTCTAGATATTATTTTGGGGAAGTTCTATGGCCCCGGGCTATACAGGAAGTCAGACTAGATGTTCACAGCAATCCCTTCTGGCCTTAGAATTTATTAATCTAGTCAGGAGGCATAGAATGCTGGTGCCTAGTTTGGAGTGTGTCACTATGAGCATATAAAGCTAGTGCTCAGATCTCTACAGTGGTTTCATGTTCACTTCATGATGCAATTTAAGGTGTTGCTGAATAGCCTGAAAGTCCTGTATGTCCGTCCAGGACCAAGTTTTGTGGTAGATATCACAGCAGGCCTCATAGGGCAAGAAGCAGTCTAATGAAATCATCTGGGATCCTACTTCTGTGCACAAAGCAGAGGTCTCAGCAGAGTAGTGTCAGATACCAAGGTGCTGGGTACACTTTAGATAGGTATATATATATATATATGTGTTCTGCCTTTTGAAATTTTTTCCAACTAGTTGTCTGCCAGAGTCTGAGGTTAGTGAGCTTCAGAGTACAACGTAGAACTCATTTAATGTGATTAATGTTATGGTTTTAATAGAGGGTCCTGTGGCACCTTTAAGACTAACAG